ATTTTTGCCAAATCAAATCGATATTTTTCATGATCTCTGACCAACTCCCGTGACGGAGGCACGGGTTATACGCTAGTATATCTATATGAAATGGATGGGTTACAGCTATTATCATAATTCCTGGGACACCTGTAAAAATTGGTCGAACGATTTTTCGGCCGATTCGGTTAAGTTTGTGATTTCGGAAATAATAGATTCAAGAACAGATAAATTGATATATACTATAGTTATATACACATATAAACAATTGCATTTGTGAATTTCCGAAATCAATTTTATAGAAACAACTTATCAGACACATGATCCATTAAATAGAATTTATTATAGAATTTTATTATAATTCATCAGGAATCTGATCAACTGTTCTGAAAAGCAGAGCCGGCAAAAACCGAAATTGCAGTTTTTAGCTTTGCAGCACTCATTTGCAACAAAAAGTTTTTTTTTCGTCGTTCAAGTAGAGAAAGTATGATTGACTATTAATATTATCGCTATACGTGTTAACAATGTGTTATCATTGTGTAATAATTACAGAATTATCCAAAATGAATATTCTACGTAAGTGATTTTCGATGACACTTGGTTCGTATATACAAATCGAAGGAATAAACGTAAAGATGATGCGTTTTTAAGAGCTAAAAAGTTTAATAAATTTGATTACGTACATCGATCGTTTTCGTATAAATCTCTGGTCAATAAAACTATATATACACAAACGTTTTCTGCACAAGACATAAAAGACTCTTGATATAATAAAGAACTTACAAATCCAAACTGAAATTTTATAACAAAAAGCTTTCTATATAAGAAAGTTTCGACATAAGAAAGATTTTGATTAGACCCAGTGACTTTATTATATCAAGGCTCTCTTGTATATAAATTATGGTTTCGCGTTTCTATTATAAACCACCATTTTCACAATCTACTTTCTTTCCAAATTGTTTTTTTCTATTCATTAAATCACTTATTTTCTTCGCTTTGATTTCGCAAGTTTTGGCACTAAATCCAATAATAATCAAAGGAAATAAATTTTTTGATTCAATTACAAAACAACAATTTTTTGTAAAAGGAGTAGCATATCAACCACGTGGACTAGGCGTAGAATATGCGGATCCATTGGCACGAACTGAGGCTTGCAAACGTGATGTTAAGTTAATGAAAGAGTTGGGTTTTAATGTCATACGTGTTTATGATTTAATATTGATTGGTATTAGTTATAATAGTATATATTTATATGGTTATAATATTTAGGTGAAGGTAGTTATTATTTTGTTATATGAAATTTGGTATAGTGTCAATATGTCATGTTAATAGATATGTCACTATTTACATCATGTTATATGCTATTTGATATTTTAATATTTGTAACTTTAGTTAAAGTATTATATGTTTTTTGTGGTTATGATATAGAAAATATATAGTTTGTTAAAGGTTTTATTTAAATTGTATATAGACATATCTTTGAAGAAAGGTATGAAGTGAAGCTAGATAATATAATATTTAGTTTGATGAGTATAAAAATAAGAAATGGAATAAAAGAAAATAAGTTTAGGATATGATATTGATAAGTATACATATATTTTTTTAATATTGTTAATATTGAATTTTTGATTAGATTGAGAAGTGGTTAAAGTTCTTAATTTCCATTGGTGTTAGTGAGTTTAGTACTTGTTGGTTTGATTATTTCTTCAGATCTTTTATGTTTTAATGAATGCGTGTTATTTTTAGGTTGTGTATTATTTGTGACTGAATTATTTTGAGTTGTATTATTTTCAGAATGTGTATCATTTTCGGGTAAGTTATTTTGAGTTGTATTATTTTCAGAGTGTGTATTATTTTCGAATAGGTTATCTGGAGTTATATTTTCAGGATTGTTTAAAGTTGGTGAAGAGTGGGTTTGGAATGGTTTTGAAGTTTTAGCCATGTTTTGATGGATGTTTAGAAGTTTAGATTGTGTTGGGCTTGAAGATAGTTCGATATTGTCAGTGTTGAGTTTCTTTTTTTTAGCAATAAAGTTAGTATTAACGTAATTGATGTCGTTAGCATAGACATAAAATTCGTTATCTATGATTTCCATCTGTCCAATTATGAAAATTGTTGATTCTTGTGGACGAATTGTGGTCTTGAAATGTTTGAATCGTGGGTTATTGTGTGGAAAGGCTACTTTGATTGTATAATTGTAAGGTTGGCCAATATAGTCAGACACAAGTACTTCGATAATGGAATTTTCAGTATGTTCAATTTCGGCTGGCATTTCTTGTGGAATTCCTATCAGTGCGATTTTTAAGGAGTATTTATTTGAGCTTGGAATTTCTTTGTCGGATATTGTTAGATGAGTTGATGTGGAAATTGTCATCTAGGTATTAGGTTATTAATGAGTTAATTTTGTTTGTAAATAGAGATGTAAGGGCAAT